TGCTGAAAATGATTTGAAGAGCTAACTGTTACTTGAGAAGGCAATACTGAACTGTGAGCTGTAAGGAGGGGTGAGGAAAGAGAGAAAACAAGCCTTCACCCAACTTGTTTTCCTCTTAGTTCCTCGTGAGGGGGAGCAGCAGTTCCTCCCCTATGTCTTACCATTACTGCTCATCAGGGATCTCATTGGTAAAGCACTAAGTGTTTAATTGCATCTCCTGGCATGGGGAGATCTGAATGTGTCCTATACAGGAAAGAAGGGTAGTGTGATTCTGCTCTGGAGCCAATGAAGCTTCTGCATCACTGTTACTGCTTCTGCTACCCCAGCAGCTAGGCAAAACACAGCAATAACCAATTTATGGCTCTGGAGTTTTTCCTCCAGGTCTCTCCCTCGTGATACGTAGAAGACAGAGAACCCTTGAGAAGAAAAAGCATTTACCATAAACTTTGGAGAACTTTGGACTGAGGTGAGTTCAGGTAGAAGCTTTCAGAGGGAAGGAAAAGTGAATAGGAAGAGAGAGGGAAAACTAAAGGTCAGAGAATTAACGAGGAGTCTGTGCTGTGAAGGAGAGGGATACATTGAAAGGCAGAAGAAATTGGTGTGAAATAAGGATTCTGAGGGCAGACAGTAAATGTTTGAGGGACCTGATGCTTGCTGAAGGGTTGGTCTGAAAAGAAAGCAATCAGATCCTTACAGGCACAAATAGGAGGAAGATGTTTGTGGAAGGAGCATGTCCTTGGGAATGATAAATATGAGTTAATTTACTGTAGTGATTTGCAAGTAGTAATAAGAGGGGCTGTGAAATAGAAGTGAATTTAGAAGATGGAGGACATAAATGCAGGGGTTTTGATAAAAAATAAAGATGGGTGAAGTATTTTGAGAAACATGAAGTAATAATTTTCAGGAAGAAAAAGCAGAAATTTAACATTTATAGGAGGAAATTATTATGGTCATGTTGTATGGTGCAGTCCACAGGACATCTTTGAATGTAAGGAAAGAGTTCTTAGAAGAAATGTTATTGTTGGTGAATGCCTGACACTTGAAATCAGGATTGTCTTATGTAATGTCTCAAGCATAAGTCTCCACAAAATTTTTGCTTGCTGACTGCTTCTCCTGGCAGCCATGAAATAGGGGATTACAGCAGAAGCTCCAAAGGAAAATGAAGAGTAGGGGCAGGGATTTGACTGAAAGTCTGGAGAAGGTGTTAATGAAGGTTGATGAAAACAGATAACTGATTAATTAAGTACAGATAACATATTAAAAGGGTTGAAGGCCAGAGGATACACTAGAGAATGGGGTTTTTTGGAGAACAGGCTAATAAAAGAAAAGAGAAATTGTTATGTGGACATGTTCTGTTCTGGGAACTGGTAGGAAAGCATATGATGGCATGGGATGGGAGAAGATGTGGAGGAAATAACATATGCTGTAAGGAGAGGAAAGGTAGACAATGAGAGCCCAAGTGCTCCAGCTGTATAGGATGGCCTTTCTTGCTTGGACAGGCCATTATTACAGCCTATCATGGTGACTGAAATTATGTGTAAAGATTCCTTGCAGAAGTCTCCTTTCTCTGGATTTACCATGTGGAGATGTAGAGTCTCGCTCAGAATTTTCGTGCGAAGGAAGCCTGAAAAACTCATTGCCTAAAAGAGTCTTTCATTTCTGCCTTTCTAGTAACAAAGAAAGTTTTTGGTGCTAAAATAAGCGGTGTGATGTACGGTACTTCTAAAGCTGTTAAAAGGCTCTTAACAGCTCTATAAAATACTTGCCGCCTCCTCCTGTGCTTTCAGAAAATTTTACTCCAATATTTATTTCACTGGCTTACACAAAATTTCCTCCCCTTTAAAACATAAGTTGTTAATTATTTCTCCGTTGTCACGATCAACTCCCCTCAAGCTATTAAAATGTACTTGCATTGTAGTTTTATTATTCTTTGCAAAATACTGGAAAAAATAATTTTGCTAGACAGTTAAATTTGAAATACATATTGATTCAGCAATGCAAATGGATCTTTTATGCTAATTTCCTGCAAATATTCAAATGGTGTAGTTTTACCAGGAAAAGCACTCATAAAAGCAAGTCTTTATGAATATTCACCGAAAGTGAATTTTGAATTGTACACTTCAGCTTGATCTTTGAAAGTCATGCTGCGTGGGCTAGTATACATAGATCACTTCACACAATAGCAAAAATAGCATGCAACTACTCAGCACTGCACAAATAGAAGCTCATATTGGTCTAAGGTGTTTTCAGAATATAATACAACAGCAAGCTTACAATACAATTCAAAATTCTGCATTTTTTCAGAACTCTATGAATAGAAGACAAGGCAAAACTGATGAACAATTAGCTGTCAAGATTTCATTCATCACTAATAAAATATTATTTAAAAGCAATTGCAATGGTGCAGAACACCCATGGTGTTTTGGGAGAGACATGGACTACCTGAAATTCTACTTCAATCATCCCAAGAATTATTTTAAGTTGGCATTGCACTGTATGAGTATAAAACACATACATGCAATTGTGCACTATTTGTGCACACTAGCTTTGTAATATTGAAGTTTTGAGTAAGTGCGTTGTTGCATTTCCTTAATTATCCTTCTTTTTTTTTTTCCCTTCATCCTACCAGATGATCATCGAAGTTTGGCAATGGTTCCGTTAGTTTGCATACAAGACAAGCTTTAATTGGTCCCTATGGTTTTGCCATCTCCAATAAGATGATCCACTGAGCATGTGCAAATAGGTATTTTTTGAGGGCTTATAACTTGATTTTAGAAAGATGACTTCTCATAAAATTTTTGCTTCAGAGCATTCAAAGTTTAGACATGTGGGCTTCAAAATTTTCTAGTCAAGGTAGAGACTGCTGTACAACAAACTAAGCTTTATGATTCTTTTTCCCTAGCAACCTGTCCTGACCTCCTAGAGCCTCAGTGTGTCCTGAGACTGCTATCCATGAGTTAAGAAAAGAGCTGCTACGGAAAGCTTTTTTTCAGATGATGTGATCTGCCACGGATCCAGCGTTGAATCAGGTTCAGGCGCCCAGTTATGTCGCAACTTTCTGATGCAGGTCAGATCCTCCAATGGCACTGATGTTTCTTAGAGCACCCCAGTGTCTAACGAAGGCTTTCTTTTCTGGTGAGACGAGCAGTTGTAACTAAAAGCTTGAAACACTCAAATTAGGTCACTTTCTTTGTGCCATAATTTTAATTCTGTTAAATGGGCATAATGAATTCTTCATGAGGATTGATTGCATAATACTAGCACGCTTTCTTGCCTGGTAGGATTCCCTGTTTTCATATATGTACATTAAAGGGCCTTCAAAACGCTCTTGTGAACAGGATCCTTATTTCCTGCAAAATTACTCTCGGGTTTGCCTTAGGATGATTTCTCATCTTTTAACCTCCTTCAGGTGGTTTATTCACTATACTCCTGGTAGTGATCCTTGACCTGGCTAATTGTGCTTTTGGCCTGCAGTGTGGTTTTGCAAGGTTAGTACTACTGCCTTTGCATTTGGATGAAATATGCAAAAGGGAAAATTTTGACCTCTGCTGGTTAGTTTTGGGAATAGAGAGTATAACATCAGTCAGGGCCATTTTCCCAAAGTGAGCACTACTGAAAGATGCTACAGTCTACTTGGGAGGTGGTCAAGTATTTGCAGAATATAACAGAAAGTGCATTTTTTTGGTGCATGTACCCTGAATTCCTTTCTTGACACCTGTTAGACCTGCAAGGAATCTTGGAGCAAGCCTTGTCAGTTGCTGGAAAGGGGTGGGACAGAGGCAAACCTGATTTTTTTAATATTTCAGGAATACCAAGAAATACACACAAGTCAGTCTGGTGTCCTTGGCCACTTGGCAAGTTCCCACCTTTGTCAGGTGCATGCGCCATGACTTACAGTTGTTCCCATTGTTTGATGTCCTGAGATGGTATCAAATATCTGAGATTTTATTACTATGTTTTTTTCTGTCTGTTCTCTCTCCAGTGTGTTCTGTAAGACCTGGTTTGTTCTTGGTGTGCAGAAGCTCTGACCATCGCACTGTTGATGGTACCGTGGTAGCACATGGTCTAACTGTATTTATCCAGAAATGCTTTATGGGCTGAGTTTTTGCATCATGCCTTAGACAAATGTTTCTCTCCCAGCCCTTCTGTGGTAAACAAAGTTCTTTATATTTGAATATTTTAGGGCATGTAATTTTGACAACAGAGCTATGGCTGAATGACTACCAGAACATGAAAACACTGCAAAGTGACTGATAACACTTCAGCAGGAATTACTATTTATCTTTTATGACCTTAGGAAAAAAATCTGTATTAAAGCAAAGATGTTCCAGGAATGGTCAAGGAGCTTGTTTGATATGACATGAAGGGCTTGTTAAAATGCATTAATAGTTATGACAGAGGATGATTTCTTAGCAGTTGTATATGTTGCCAAAGAGTTTTGTCACTGTGGAGCCAGTAAAAGTCCAAACATGCAAAGGTAACAAGTTACTGGAGGCAATTTCAACTAAATTACAGGGAGAGAGACCAGCCAGGTTGCAGCTCATGCAACTTCCACAATAAAGATAAAATTTACAGATGCTTCATATACCTTCGGGGGACGTATTAATTGGTGCTTCTCTGTCCAGAAACACACGTAAACAACCCGCCGTAGCTCACGCTCAGCTCACTGACGACAAGCTTCGCAGCTTGTTTGTACCAAAAGGAGAAACGCGGTTCACGAAAACGCGCCTGAAGATCCGTGTACCTTCATCGCGCTTATGTTGCTGGGGAAAGCGCCGCACGGCAGAGCCCTGCTCTGGTCCGTGCTCCTCCGGCTCCAAACCCCCACCCTCATTCCAGCGCGTCACAGCGGTGTTCCCGGCGGTCCCTTCCCGGGGACATGTCCCGCGCTGCCGCCGCGGCCGCTTTAAAGCGCGGCGGGGGCGGGGCGGGGCCGCGGCGTTGCCGGGTGACGGCGGTGGCGTTGCCGCGGGGAGCGCCGGGCGCCGCCGGCCCGACCCGCTCCGCTCCCGGGCGCCGTGAGCGGCGGTGCATCAACTCATCCATCGTCCTGCGCCTGCCCTGGCCCTGGCCCTGGCCCCGGCCCCGGCCCTGGCCTCGGTCCGGCCCGGCCCGGCCCGCCCGTGCGCCCCAGCGCAGGCGCTCGCTGTTAGAAAAGCTCCACACGGGACAGATGGGGAACGTGGTTTTTTTAATCAGCTTTGCCGAGCGCTGAGAGGAGCAGGCGGCGTGAGGTGGGCGGCGGGGTAAGGCACGAGGGGACGACAGATAACACGGCCGGAGAGGGTCCGGCCGCAGCTCCCGCTCGCTGGCACCCCTGGGGAACAGGGGGGTGTCCCGAAATAGCGCGGTGGGGACGGCGCCCGGCAGCTCCCAAGGAGCGGCGCGAGGCTGAGGTAAGCGCCGGGGGGATGCGAGCGTGAGGTCCAACCAACTCGCTCGAAACCCTCAGGAAAGACTTTAGGAGGCCGCAGTGGCGTGCCCCGGTGAGCTGCCGTGTCCCGTGCTCCTCGCCCTGACACGCAAAGCCGAGTGTCGGCCTTGTGTGACGCGACGGATCCGGGATAATCTGCGCTCGGCCATGAGCGTGTGCGCCCTCGACTCGGCTTAATCCCGTGCCCTGGCTCACAGATGTCTCAGGCGTAGCCAGCAAAGGTTTGCAGGTGGGCCTGCTGGCCGCGGTTTAGGAGAAGAATTCAAACCCTTAAAATCCCTAGCAGGGTGTCACCTCTATTGGTGCAAAAGAGCATGTTCCTCCTACGGACCGTGTCTCTTTTCTATGGTTTGCAGATCCTGGCTGTCACCCACGTGCATTTCGCTGGCCAGAAGACATAGAGGTCCCTTGCGACTGAGCCCTTGCACGAGTGTTTTGAGGATGAAATGCTGCATAAACTCTTAAAGCACACCACCTGAGGACATTGCTACCGACATGGACATCATTATTTATTTACAAATGCTTTAATCAGGAGGAGCTTTTTTGTAAACATGAATTGCTGGGCTCTTTCCTTGAGGTGTCGTTTCTTGTTTCATGCTATTGAAACATTAATCTTAACTTATTATGACTCCTTTGTGTTGGTCAGCTCTCAGGGACATTTCCCTAGGCTTGAAAATGTGGGAGCTTTCAAGAACGTGTCAATTGTGCCAACTCAAGCCACTTGTGGGCTGCCAGACCGAAGTACTTTTTGTCATAGCTCAGTAGCTGTTCAAAGTATTATATCGTGCACCCAGAGGTTTTGTGTTCAGGAATGTCCATACAGGTCGTCCCCTTCATCCTACAAACCACTTCTTTCAGAAGGCCTTGGTACCTGCATCACAGAGGACAAAAGGGACTTGCATCCAGGGTCTTTCAGCAATGCTTCCAGTTTTATTTTTCATAATCACAAGGATTGCTTTTCTACTCCCCGTTTTCCAAGGCTTGCAGCTTCATTTACGTTAACTGTATGGTTGAAACCTGAGCAAGAAGGTGTAATGTAAGTAGTATTGAAGGTGTTTACTTTCCTGGTGCTCTTAAAAAAATTGATCGTTGTAGTCACAGTCATTATAAGCAAGCTATTTAAAATTTTAAAGGTTGCGGTGAGAAACTGTGACGTTTTTAAAGCTGTATTTAGGTTGGGGTCTTCACAGATGTCAAGACAAGTAGGTTCAGTTTCAGTGGCATTGACTCAGATGATAGTCCAATTGCTTTCAGTGGGAACTGTTCATACATAAGGTACAGATCTATTCTCAAAAATAGAAATTTGTATTTCTAATTCACATTCCTTCTAAAAGCTGCTAGAAAATTATGTTGTCAGAGGGTTGTGCTGTTGCTGCTTTCATGATGGGAAAAAAATTATCTAAAACATAAAGAATCTTCCAGTACAAGTTGATGTCTTAAAAACAAACAAGGAAAGCAACAAAAATGAATATTGAAGAGCCACAGAAAAAAGGTCACAGTTTTTCTGGAAGATCTGAGGAATGCTGCCTGTCCGAGAGATTGTGCTGCTACTTTAACAAATGATACCACTATTCAAACTGCTAGTGAAGTTTCACTAGGTGTTCACAAAATAAAGGTGGCTAAGTGTGCTCCCTCTCCTGTTTGCTTACATGTTGCATTTTTAGGAAATATTGCTGTTATAAGTGACTGGGCTTGACTGGGCCTTACTGTAGTGAAAAACCTGCTTTTTGAAAAATGTGTCCCAGATCCTGCAAAAAAGGTTTCCTTCATCTATCACAAAATGCAGAGGCAGCCTACTCTTTCTTACCTTTGCTATGCAGATCCTCTTTAAAAAATAAAGCACAAAAAAGTATAGTATGCTCCTTCAGAGTATATGTGACAAATGTTTTTGTACTTGTGTTCCTGATTTATTTATAGAATGAAGCTAGTAATATGCTCTGAGGCATCCTTGATACTTATTTAGCGTGTTGCTGAGAAATAGTAACTTGTCTAGGGGTATGAAAATCATCAGAGACAACAGAAATATCTGAATTTGTAATGTAAAATTATAGTCTGTTTTATGCAATGATAATTACCTTTTAAAAAATCAACCTAACTATAGAATTTTCGGCTATGTAGGGGAAATAAATGAGATCTGCAGAGCAAAACTGAGTTTAGTTTGAGTTTAAGTTAGATCAGCTCAGACGGCGGTATGTTGAAAGGCGTCTCTGCAGCTTTGGCCTTTGGTTTTTTACAGACAGCATTTTCCAAGTAATGGTTGAATCTTTTATGTCAGAGAGTCCATTCCTGGTGTTGTCCTATGCCATGAGTTCATGTTCACATACATGTGGGCATATCAGAGTCTTGTTCAGCAGAGCACATGCCTAACTTGAAGCAGAAATGTGCTGCTAATTTCCAAGCAAGCTGTTGCAGTGATGTATTGAGTGAGATCTGTGAAACTTCTTTGTCAGTGGCATAGGCTTTTGATGCATGGAGCCTAAAACAATGAAATGTTATGTCCTTAGGTTCAAATGATTAAGTTCTGTGAAGAAAACCAGACCTCTAGGATGACTGATAAATCCATGGAATAGTGTAAAAGATTAACTTTCAATTGCTACTGTTTTAATAACTACACAATATACATATTCCTGTTCAGTGGGTTTTATAGATCACTTTAAAATTTAAATGTTTTTATTCAATTTTTGTAATAGATGACTTCATTCTTCTACCTTGTGAGATTGCTGCTACTCAACATGTAGAAATGACAGTGGTGAAGCTCAGGCCTGGAAATTGAAGTTGAACAACAGTTTTTCCAGTGGTCAGGATGATATGTCACTGTCCACATGCTTTTTTTCCCACTGTTCACAGAAAGAAGTGTGTTAATTTTTATTTTCTTCATAAAAAGAATGCAGAGCTCCAGTTGTGGTGGAACAGTAGTTGTGCACGTGTAGCCACTGAAGCTTGACTCAGAAGGCATCTTACAAACGAGAAATAATTTGCCAGCAAACTAAGATGCTTTCCCTTTTACTATTGGTTTAGTGAATCCTTCAGGTTGGCAGATGGAGTTTGACTTACCAGTTGTCCTACATTTTGCAGTCCCTGATGGGGAATTGTCCCTGTTACATGTCATTCATGAGACATTTTAAACTCCATTATCACAGCAGAGGAACTTCACGGAACTGGGATGCATTCTAACAAAGTTTGTGTGCTACCACCAAAGGACTAGGAAGATCAGCCAGAACTAGCCACTCATTTTACTAGTAAAATAATTGAAAGTTTAACAAGCTATTTTTTTTTTACTAGCAAAATGCTTTTACATCAGGTACAGCAGACCCATGTGTTTTGGACATGCCATACTAGTGTGTTTTTATGCTAAATTTTATGTGGTCTGGCTGTGAGAGTGTGCTTAGGAAAGAAGCTGGGAGTGTTGCTGCATAGTATCCCATTACATCCTGTGACATTTCTGTTATGCATGTACCCATGTAAGGGAATAGCAGAATTTTTCTGTTAGAAGTTACTGTGCTAGTTGAAATGAGAGAGAGATGTGAGGATCCAAGGTCTGAAGGCTCTTTAAAGACTGTGATGAAATATATGTGGATAAGCAGAGACACCAAGAATTTTCTTCATCAGTTTCATAGACCAGCTTTTCTTATGTGAATCTGAAAAGAATACACTTTGCTACAAAAAGAGAGGAAAGTCGCCTGACTGATTTCATGGATTTATTTGAAGCCCTAGTGTTCTTCTAAGATGTATAGTAGAGATAATTGTAGGCATGCTTTTAAGTCATTGCATATTGGAAATATTGAAGAAAAGCAAGAGAATAGTGAGAAAGCACTGACATTTGTACGCCAGTGTTTAAATTTGCTTTCCCTTTAGGCAGTAAGTGCTGTGAGTGAGCAGAGTTCTTGCCCCTGAATTTCATTCTTTCCTCGTGCTTCCTCTCTTGCTGCATGTATCCATCAGTTAATATAATTGCTTTCAGTAAGCCTGTGTGTAGCATGTATGTAAGCCTTAGCAAAATATAGGAAACTGTATATGATGATAACCCTTCACAATGGAATAGGATGAGAATATGAGTAGAAGCTTAGCATGTATGAGTAATCATTACAGGCAGCTTACATCAATGTAGTGTGAGCTGGAGTAACTGGAAGTTAGATGACCAGGAGACACTGGAGGTGGGTGAGAAATGAGATTAGACCCTGATTACATGCAAAAAGATCAGCAGGAATTTTCCGATTGTGAAGTGGGTAGCACATATATTTTTTTAACTTTATTTATCTAAGGGACTAAAATAATATCCTATTACTTTGTATCCATTTAGATGTTTTACATTAGGAATTAGACTTGAAGGGGGATTTGCCTTAAGATACCATTCATCTGATTTAAAACAGCGCAGATGTTCCCATTTGCAGGTGCTCCAGTTGATGAGTGGGTATCACCGGTGCAGCCATGTTAGATTCTGTAAAATATTTTTCTCTTTAAAAGCTGACTGAGCAGATTTGTGTTATTTGCTTTTTTCTTATCCAAACCCACCACTGAGATATATGTAGTTAGGAATTGGCTCTGTGGGACTGCAGGTTACCAGAAGTTGAAAACTTCACAAAGAACAGTGGCCTCTCTCTATAATCATGGCTGGAATGGAAAATCGTGCTCAGAGTCAGAAGTTATGCTTCTGCCTATTTCACCTATGTTAGCACTAGTTTGGTTTTTTCTTTTTTCTTTTTTTCTTTTTTTTTTTTGTTTTTCCTTCTCTCTTCTCTCCCTCTTGGTTTTCCTCTTTTACTAGTAAGTCACAATTCACATTTGTTCTTTCTAGTTTTCAAAGTGATGTACATCAAGGTCGCTTCCCTTCTTAAAGTCATGACACCTTAGGGGATAAAAACAATGTGGGGATGTTTGTTTTAGATAACTAAAATAAACAAAAACCTGGATTATCCAATTATTGTTTATCCAGGAACTGGGTAAATCCAGTTCCTAAATATTTTGCTACTTAGCTGAGCCTTCCTTCACATTTATTATCTAACAAAACTAGCATGTTTACAAGCAAACAAAATATTGAAAAGACCAGTTGACAATTTATTAAGAAATGTGGTTTTAGTAAGGTTGGGAAAACAGAAGTCTGCATTTTGCAAGGTGTTTCATTGACAACATTCCAGCAGGCTAAAATAGTAACAGTTAAGATGAATTAATTTTTCTCTTGGATTTAAAGGTGAATTAATGAATAATGGCAGTATGAAAAAACAGCCTTTTTGATACTTTTATAAATGCAAGGTAGATGAAGACCCTTATCAGTAGGTGCTAGGAGGTTTTTTGGTTTTATTTTTTCCCCCTGAAATATGTCTAAGTAAATCCCAATCTCATACAAATTTTATATGCTTCTCTCTTGTGACTTAGTGCACTAATTTAGTCTGGTGTAACTGTTAAAATATTTGACCTTTCCTGGGTCAGTAAATTGAGGGCTGTATTTCTCAAGCAGCTGAAATAGGAAGGGTAGAACTTTATAATTTTTCTTGTACTGATGATTACCCTAATAAAATACATAGTTATTTCACAAGTATATATAGCCTATGCTTTCTCAGGACCATTGACATCATGGTGATTCGATTGGCAAAAACATTTCAGGAGCTAGAAATGCAAAATGGGTTGCTGTGGATGATATTCTTTGTACCTTACATGTCATTGTTGCATTTGCTATTGATGTAAATTCTTTGTGTGTGTGTGGGAAATCCTAATGAGTGGCTGGATATCCTCCTTGCCTTGCTCTAGTTTCTCAGGTTAAAGAAAGGCTGTGCTAAAGGGAGAATGTAAGGTAAGCTGGTGTCATTGCTACCTTACCTGGACAGATTTGGTGGAAAGATGGAAGACTTATTTCCAAAGCATGTAATTTGTGCTGCTTTTTGTGGTTACATTACATTTGTCTAGTTAGACTAAGGAAAATTTAAGTGCCTCCACATGATGTGCTGAGTTGTACAGCTTTGTATGAAGAGTGCAGCAGAGACCTGCACAGTGCTTGCCAGTCATTGTGGTTTCTGTAATGGAACGTGAAGAAAGGAGACAAAGTGGACCCCTCCTCCACCCCCAAGTGAACTGGGGTTGGACACACTACACGTGAAAAAAACCCCAAACCAATCAACTAACCAAAAAACCCCCACCAAAACCCCCAAATACCCAAAAACCTTACAGATGAAGACAGAAGCTATCTTTGCTAAGGTTCTTTTACACTTAGTACATCCTGTGACTTTCACTGTCACTGAGCATCTTCTCAAGAGCTGTATTTTTAATGTTTATTTTAATACATTCAGGTTAGCATCACTTTACAGGATAGCACCTTGGCAAGAATGTGTATATGTGTGTGCCTCTGACCTTATGTTGTTTTTCTTGGTTATTTCCAAAGGTGTGTGATAGAAAAGGCTATTGATGGGCAGACTGTGTTCAAACTCACAATCTCTGAGAAAGAGACCATGTTTTATTATCGCACAGTAAATGGTTTGCAGCCACCAATAAAAGTAATGACACTGGGGAGAATTCTTGTGAAGAAATGGATTCATCTTAGTGTGCAGGTGAGTAAAATAAAAACTATTTAATATTTGTTGAAATACAATATTTGTGTGAGAATGGTATAACTATAAATATAAAAGAATAAATTGGGGGATGTAAATGATAACTCTTGAGTCTTGTAGGTAAGAATCTTAATTTGAGAGCTCATTTTGAGGCAATTGCTGATTTAGCACTGGAAAGAAATGCTGTTCCCATTCTTCTGAACGAGTAGACTGAACAGGGCTGAAAATTATCACCTTTAAGAACATGAGTATATGAGATGAAGAAAAACTACTTATATCTAACATTACCAATTAGTCTTGGGTCTCAGATTATTTCCTAAAAAAGAGAAAGTCATCTTGATCTATGCATGCTAATTTACTTATCTTACAGAGGTGTGTCCCATTTAATTTTAAAATATTCTTACAATGCACGTAAGTAAATTTGTGAGTTTGTGCAGGATCTGCCAAAGTAATAAGTGACAGAGCTATTCCCTCTTATTTTAAAAATATGGTTCAGAATTGTTAGAGCACAATCCCTGTGTTCTAAGAGTCTTCTGTTGACATAACTTTTTAATAAGTGTACAAATATCCACTGAGGATAAAGCAAAATTGAGTTTGTTAAAATTTAGACTGTATGTACCAAAATCAGTAAACAAACACAGAATAAATTAAAATTCAGTTGTTTGCATGTCTTGTAATTCCCAAAAGACACCCTAGTAAATTCTATTTGTAAGCCAAGTTCAACTAATAATTATAAAACACAATTATCAGGTATTGAAATGTTTATCTTCTCCTTCCTTCATTTCCTTTATCCGTTCTATTAAATTTCATTTGGTCTGCAGCACAATCAAGAATAGTTTTGCTGCTTTCTTGAAACTTGCTAAAAGGTATTGACTGTGATTTGGATTTTTAGTGCTGATCTTGTCACTTGTAAGAGGTATCTAAGCTGATGTCTTTATTTTTTTGCAGTTTTCTTTTTTCCAGGGTAACAGCATGGTAGTGCGAATAAGGTTTGGGCTGTTGGATTAAAAGAGTGACCTTAAAGTAGAACTAATGAACTTTACACTTCAAACACTCAAGGGTGCTATATTACTGCTGTTGCTGTCAGCTGCATTTTGTACTAGCCTCAGAAATTGCTAAAGCCTGGGAGAGCCAAGTGAGGAGTGAAAGGGTTGGTTAAATGCACACATATATCTTGAATTATATTGCAAAGAAACCTGAAGCACCCTGTAGAATCTGGTCCTTTGTTTCTCTGAGGAAAGTTGTTCAATTCATAGCAGGAGTAAAGAGGCATAGCTTCTAGAGCCTTAAAGGAACTGCAGGCTTAATACCTTTTCTAAGTTTCTGAGCTCAAGGTAGAACCTTATGGTCTGTGCTTTGTGGTATTGTAGGATTCAGCTTTCCATTAAAGGTGATAGTGGCTGCAGCATGATCCATTTTTCCCCAGGACTGGCTATGAAACTTTAGGCAAAGGTTTGGGGGTTTTTTTGTATTGTTTTTCTTTTAGCAGCTGTCCATTGTAAGTGGAGATATAAATGCAAAATGAGAATATGAGAGAGACCATACAAATATACTCAAAAGTAACACACATATGGAAGTGTCTGTGTCTTCAGACAGTAGTGGTATGTGATAATGATATGTATGATACTGATTCAGGCCAAAGGTCTCCAAGCCAAACAGTCAGTAGGAGCTGGGGGCCTGCAAACAAGGGAGTTACCATGGTCTGTGAGAAAAACTGAACTATTTGTACATAGATGCTGTTCTACAGACACTGTGATGGAGGATTGTGAAGTATTGGTTACAGATGTGAATTTAGAGAGAGGAAAAATATGGTAGGATTGCAGATATGTTTGGAATTCAGGTGTAAGTGCATATGCCTACTCAGGAATGATGACAGTGAATGCTAAATGGTGGAATAGCACCAAATAGTAATTAAATGATAAGAGGGAAGGAAAGAAGAAAGGATAGCAGAGATTGAAAATAATTTCTTTGGAATAAAATAATTCTAGGGAAAGAGAAAGCTAGTAAATTAATTCTACTGAGGTAATCTAGGAATTTAAATCCTTGGGTTTGTATTTAGATGTGTAATTCATTAGAGGCAACTGCTATTAAGAGCTGTGTCATTGCAGAGACTTATTTTCCAGTTCATAGCTGGGAAATTTAAGTTCTACTAACAAAAGCAGGGCCCAAACATTCCTGTATGTTCTGCATGAAAGGTTTCTTCATCAAGTAGCTGCTGAAGCAGAAAGTCTGGATACACCAGCTTTGTTAAGTGATGAGGGCATTATCAGAGATGTAGGTCTCAAGAATAATGATGAGCATTCATAACTAAAGTCAGATGAAATAGAAGAATAAACAGTTCTTTGGTTCTTTAAGTACACTTTTGGGTTTCAAAGAGAACAAACAAATAGAACTATTTTAATAAAACAAGGTAAGCTATGGAGTCCAGAATGGAAAAAAAAAATTGAATGGAAAAAAAGGCTTGGAGGTTGTTAAAAATTAATATAATATAATTAAGAGAAATTTCTGCCCTTAAAGTGAAAAAATGGATATGTAGTCTCCAGGCTTATCTGAGTAAATAAACATCTCTGCAGTTAAAGATGGCAGAGTGTGTGAGCACTGGGAAATGGGGAAGCAAATTCACAGAGAATGCTGTGTAGGAATAGGAATAGAACTAGAATTATAAAGACGTTGATCTGAATTAAACTGTCAAATGGTAAAAAGTTTTTATGATTTTTTGGTTTTGTGTAAGAAGGCAAGACCTGTGTATAGTGGAAGTGTGCTTGAGATTAAGGATGGTTTGAGTAAGGTCCCCAGAATAAATAAATACTTTACTTCTGTTTTTAATACCAAGAGTCACAGAGCAAACCCAACCTGGGTAACAGAAATTAATATATGGAAACAGAAGTGATCATGAAGCGGTAGAATCATGAATTTGCAAGGTTATTGTGTATGTGCAGCTGCAATCAGATGGTCATTGTCCAAAAATTACAAAAGAACTGGTACATAAAATTCTTTGACAAAGAGATACTCTCTGTAAATCTACAAAGTCAGAGGTGCAACTGTAATGCTTATATTTAGGAAGAGTGTCTTGCATTGATGCCAGCCAGCAGTCATGCACCTGGGCCCTCCTCACCTCTGCCAATGGAACAGGGGAGACAATAGCAATAGCAAAAGTGAGGAAAAACTCATGAAGGAAAAGAGTCTGGGAGGGAAGAAACGGTGTTAAGGCAATGACTCACCACCTCCCACAAGCAGACCACTGCCCAGCCAATTTCTTAGCAGCAGGCCACCTTGGAAGTAAAATCCCTGTCTCTTCAAATTCCTTCATCTACCCCAATTTTTGTTGCTAAGCATGAGATTATACAGTATGGAATATCCCTTTGTCCCAGCTGTCTCCCTTCCTACTTTCTTGGCCCAAGCCTGGCTTACTGCTGAAGTGGGATGGGGAGTCAACGTGGGAAAAGAGAAAGGCTTGACACTGGGCAATCTCTCTTCAGCAATAACTAAAATATTAGAGTTTTATCAATACTGTTTTAGCCACAAAATTGGAACACAGCACCGTCCAGGGTGTTGTGAAAAAATTTAACTCCATCCCAGCCAAAGCCCGTATCAAGAGGAAGGAAAATGGATTTTGGCAATGCAGACCTATTTGTCTTGACACAGTGGCATATGAGGATTTAGAAAAGATCTTTGAAGAAATAGATAAAGATGTGGAGCTAAATGAAAAAGGGGATAAAATGCAGCATGGATTTACTATAGATAGCTCATCACTGTCTAACCTCTTAGCTTTTTTTTGATGAGAAAGCTGATTTTCAAGCAAAGTAAATGTGTCGGATTTCCTCTATCTGGAGTTCAGTTTAGCATTGATGTGACAACCTATGAGAAGTTGTAGGGTCAAAGGGAATGCTCATGGGAAGAGTTGGCAATAGATACTGCTCAAAGGAACTTGCTTATAATCCTGGGGAGAGGGGAAGCAAAAACCCTGTTGAATTGTTTGAGAATGTTTTTGGACCAGCCTTGTGTTACATTTTTGTTAATGATCTTGGCAGAAATATTAAGAGTGCACCAATAATACTAGCTGGTAACAGACATAATCAGAAAGAGGAATAGTAAGATGTCACACAGAAAGAATGACATGGCCAAAAAGACTAGAGGAACTGGCATGAAATAAAATTGGTATTACAAAATGCAAAGTAGTAGGTAATCATTAGAGAATTGCTGAAGTAGGAGGAGATGGTAATTCATATCAATCCATAGTTACAGGGTGGACTATGGAATTTTTCTTCTTTTTATTCCTTTTCTCTGCAATATTACTGTGACAGCCACTGCCAGCAGGATGGTGGACGTGAGTCATTAATAATCTTGGAATGGACTGTTGAAAAAGCTACTTGAGACGAGATGGTATCAGTCTAAGACTAACTTCATACTTTTTAATAGTTTTTGCAGTCTTCTTAATATGCAGTCTATTGCTGACAGAGCTATTGGCTATTCATTTCTTTGCTCTTTATACCCAGTAAACATTTGAGAAAAATCAAGCTTGAAAAGATCTGCTTAGCTAAGTTGAAGTGAATTTTGACAATTATTCTCCTGCTCTTTGATTAATATGACTTACTGTTCTCTAATGATGTCTACGTTTATTTTCTACTGCTTATGATTTGTAAAGTAAGTTATTTTTTCATTTTGCAATTTCAAACCATTTTTTTTGGTGGTTTTTGGTTTTGTTTTTTTTTATACAGCCAGAATTTGTGAGTCCCGTTTCTTTGAAATTACTGCTGCTATTCTAGTTGATTTCAGTTGGTGAGGATTAAGTCCTTCAGGCTTCTGAAAGTTTTAGGGTCATTCTATGTGTTTCATCTTGATTTAATGATATTTTTCACTGTATATTTTTAGGTGTATATTAGTAGAAACTCTGAAGGTACACAGTGGAGTAAAAGATATATAGCCTTAACTTAAAAGAATCTGATATATACTCTGAAGTGAAACCTCAGAAAAAGTTAAGAAAATCTTAACTTTTAAAG